GTTCAGCATCTTAGCTGTAGAGGGCAGTGTCACTGGCCCTCATATGTGGGATCCGAACCGGGGCCCTCTGGCATCCCAAGCGAGTTCCCAACCATCGCGCCACCCGGCCGGCCCCTGCTTCAAATGTGTTTTATACAAAAACAAACTAAAAACTGAGAGGAGTTAAATAATGAGAGGTTGAAAGTAGTAATTGTGGGGATGGAGAAAATAGATGTGATCTGTATTGAGCAGGTGGAAACAGCAGGGTAACCATGGGGAGAGTGGAGCAGTGCTTAGCTTTATGGTGGGCAGCGGTTGTTCCCATGGTAATGAGAGGAGGGGCATGTTTGGGGAGCACCTCCTAGCTGGTGCGATTCACTGCAGCAGAGAATGGAAGAGATGTCATCTGGAGGTTTTTACTCAGTGTGTTGAAACCGTGGCTTGACGGGAGTAGGAAGTGGAGACTTGTAAATAGGGTACGTTAAAACTAAACGGCCTTGGGTGTTTTGACTCCCTGCCAGGTGCTGTGTTTCAGTGTTCTTATTCTTCATCAGTGCCTGGTGTCCTTCTGTCATCTTATGCGCCCTACAGGCTATGCTGTTTCAAGTTGTAGGTCATCTGTTTCATCTTCCTGGTTCTCATTAAAGAAAATATAGAAATTTATACTGGTTTGTTAGTTTCCAAGATGCTTGTATTTTTAAGAGATTTTTCCACATTGTGCCACATTAGCTCATAGGACTAGATTAAGTTCTGAACTCAAATAAATATTTGTGGGGTGAGCATTCACATTGTGAAAGGAACCTATGCTTAAGTCTTGAAATTTTCATGCCTTAGAAAGGAGAAACTGTACATCTTTATGAAAGTGCTTTCCTATCACATTCGTTCTACAGTGCACTGCAATTTCAGGGATACTAAAATGTGGAAAAGTATGTGTGTCTTAGAAATAATAAAATACGACTATTTTAAGTATTTGGATTAATTTGGACTAGTTACCCTTAAAGGGGTAAATAACTAGGCCACCAGGATGTTATACTGACAAAAGGTAGCATGTCTCATTCTGAAGCCCCTTTTAAATAGCACTAACAGTCTGACTTTCATTCATTAAATTTCAAACATTGAGGCTGGTAAGGGGAGTATTTGGGGGCAAACAGTATTATTAGATGCTTTAAAATTAACTCAAATACAAAACCTTGACAGTTTCTGACATAAATCGCAATTCAGACATACGTAATTAACTTTGTATGTCAGTATCTGTTAATATATTACTGATTAATCAAAGGTAATGTCCTTTTTTTTTTAAATTCAGGATGGATGCAACCTTGAAAGAACTGACTAGTTTAGTGAAAGAAGTCTACCCAGAAGCTAGAAAGAAAGGCACACACTTCAATTTCGCAATTGTTTTCACGGATATTAAAAGACCTGGCTATCGGTAGGTACCTTTTCCTTTTTAATGCCTATAATGTCTTTTTGGTTCTGATGTTCTAACTGGTAGCGCTGACCCCTTTAGTTAATCTCTTTATTGGGAGGCATAGATTTATACTATCTTAATGCAACATTTCACCTGTGCTCCAGGTGATGGAGCAGACCCAGGCCCACGGTCACTCTGGTGCGCGTGGAGCCCACTGATCTGTGACACTGATGGTTGCTTTCCTTCCTCAGAGTAAAGGAGATTGGCAGCACCATGTCTGGGAGGAAGGGGACTGACGACTCCATGACCCTGCAGTCACAGAAGTTCCAGATAGGAGACTACCTGGACATAGCCATCACCCCCCCGAACCGGGCACCTCCTCCTTCAGGCCGCATGAGGCCATATTAAATTTTAGTGACTATTTGTTGAGTTTTTTTTTGTTCAGTTACATAAAACAAACCTACGCTTTTTCCTCCCCTCATTGCCATTAAGCCTTTAAACACTAATCAGATTGTAATGCATCTATTTAGAAGTTAGGTTTGGCTGTGCTATGGAATGAATATTAATAGAAAATCCATGTTTCAAGTCCTGTAAAATATGAAGAAAGTGCTCTTAGTATTCTGTGTAAAACTGTCTTCTTAAATATATGTGTGCAACCGACCTGAGTGTGGAAGTTAATGCAGGCATGGGGACAGGGCTTCATTTAGTGTGGGGCTGGTGCTAAGTAGTGAGGATGGTGTGCTTAACAGCATGAGTTTGCATCAGACGATGGAATACAGTTAGGAAAAGGACCTGTGTGGCAGCGTGGCCAAAGAGGCATTTGGGGATCGTGTGAGCTGGAGCAACTCAAAGGAGCTCTGTGAGAAGGGATTGGCCTGCTTGAGTCAAGATACAATGACAAAGAGAAAAGGGTGCCACAGTGAGGGCTTTGTGTGTTTTAAAAATGGGGAGAAGAGGGCATTCTGAGGGCAGGAAGCTGTGCAGAGGAGATAAGGGTAAGATCTGGAAATGGAGGGAGGGATGAAAGGGATCAAGACCAAGGGCAAAGAGCCAGGGATGAGGTCAAGCTGAGTAAGCAGGGGACAGTCACTCATCCTGGTTAGTGGTGTATGTAAGTACAGTCCTTATGTGGGGACATGGTCCAAGACCCCCAGTGGATGCCTGAAACAGCAGATAGTACAACCCTATATGTACTACGTCTCTTTCCTGTACATGCATACTTGTGATAGTTTAATTGATAAATTAGGCACACCAAGAGATTAACAACTAATAATAAACTAGAACAATTACAACAACATACTGTAATGAAAGTTATGTGAACATGGCATTAGTAAGTAAAATACACTGACTTAGACACAAGCACTGCAGTACAGTCAGTCTGATAACACAGACAGCTAGCAAGTGACTTAGGCGGAGCGCATAAACGGACTGCGTGGGGATGCTGGGCAGAGGGCATGTCCCGACTGGGCAGGACGGAGTGGGACTGCATGAGATCTCGTCACATCATTCAGCACTGTGATGACCATAGGGGACAAACTGGATGCAGGATTCCTGGAAATGAACCGAGTGGCCAATACCAGCTGGGCTGAATGTTTCAATCCTGGTTGCACCAGGAGCTCAGGATACGGGCAAGTTGCTTGGATCTCATAACAGGGCTGTGAAGGTTAGATGGCAGCAGGTCTGGATAGCACCTCACCTGTAAGAAATATCTGCTGCCAGCTGGATACAGGCCAAGCGGGCCGTGACAAGCAACGTGATAGTGTGCAGTAAGCCTGTCGCAGCAGGGGTGGAAAGTGTGTTCCAGAATGAAATACGCACTAGGGATCCTCAGTAAAACTGCAGTTTATCTTGTACACAAAAGCAGCCTGATATCTCATGGTTCTGTGGGGCTGGTGTCCCTGTCGCAAAGTCAGCAGGTGGCAGAGACGAACCTGCAGCCAGACCTAGCGCTTCTCCTAGTCAACCCAAACCCTCAGGTTCTTTCTTCAATCAGATGAGACACACATACTTGCCTTCTGTGAATCATACAATTAACGTAAACCTAACTTGGAGGAGACACGATTACCTTCCTATGTGGGGAAAAAATGACAGCTTACTATGTGGAGAAGGCGGCAGGGACTACACCAAGGGGACCAATTTCACAGGGGTATGAGCAATAAGAGGGCTGCTATCACTCTAGGTTATTCTCCCACTGGCTGAGAATCATGTGCTTTATTTCCTTGGTTCCAACGTGGCATTTTCCCTTTAAATACAGCTAAAGAGCAGCTAGTGAACTTACTGAGTACTATGCCAAGAACCCACACTGTCTTTAGTTATCTCTGGCTTTGTAAGTATGGTTCTGAGAAACAGCTGTTTCCTCAAGTGTAAAGGAGGAAAGGGTGGCGCCCGTGCCCAGTGCTTGAGCACCCTGGCTGCTTCACTAAGGTTCTGGAGTTGCTTTTCCCTGTGCAGTGTTAGGGCACAGACATGGCCTAGACCTTTTCAGCTTTCTCACATGAATGTGAACTTAGTATTTTCACTTATTTACTGGATCCTCAGTAAGGAATCTCAACATTAAATTTCACAAAACGTAACTGGGACTCTTATGCTCATAGCAACCACTGTCTCAGGTGATAAAGAGGGGACACGTTCCAGAGATGTTAGAGGCCACCAAGATTGGGGGTGGGATAGGGAAAGGAAAGTCAATCATCCTCGTCCAAGGTCCGAGAGATCAGGATGATAGCACTTACTTCCGAGTTAATCTAAGAAACAGGTTAATAAATCTATGCAGGACCATGTCTAGCCTGAGAGCTCAGTGCTCACTTATCAAATTCAGGTTGCTGGGTACTACGTGATGAACAAAGCCATGGTCCTGGCCAGCATGGAGTGAAGGGTGCAGCGGGGGACAAAAACATTCAATAAACGTGCATTCAAACACTGCTACACATTGTTCCGTGCACTGCAAAGGGTGAGAATGGTGCTGACAAGGACTAAGGGAGGCCGTCTTTCAGACTGGGCAAGCAGGTGAAGTCTGATAACATGACATTTAATCACACCCGAAGCAGATGAGCCAAAGCTTAGAGTTTCTGATGCACTTACCACATTCATTGTGCCTTGCTGCCCTGCCCACGCGACAAATGTCGCGTTCTGTGCGATCTGAAGGCTAGATCCTCCAGTGGCAGATCACCAGGTGCTTCACTGCACTGTCTGGAGCGAGCCTGCAGTGTCCCCAAGGCGCCAACAAGATGACAAGAGAACCGGCTGGCTTCAGCACCAAGTTTGGAGTCCTTTAACAGAAGTACCCTTGGAGCCAACTGTCCTCAGGTCCCTGTACCGCCGGGCTGGCAGGCAGTCCTCAGGCAGGTGTTCCTTCCAGGTGCATCTGCATATCTGGGAGACTGCTGCTCTTCCGAGTTCCCCAAGGTCCCTGGACTGGACATCTGACGGTGTGTTAGGCACCTGGCAGCTGCTGGCTGAGCGTGGAGCTGGGCTGAGTCTTCAGACAAATCAGCAGTTTCCTCTAAAGAGACGCTGTGGTGGGCAGACAGATGCCAAGTCCATCCAGTGCAGCATTGGGGGGCACTGGGAGAAGTAACCAGGCCCGGATTCCACGGGCCTGTGGGCCTGTCGGGCACCCTGGGCTTCTCACACCAGTGGGAAGACATAAAAGGGATTTCCACAAGGGGGAGACACTTGAAAGATCCTAAAATTTGAAGCTTGATAATAAGCTGGAGGCATCATGGCTCTAAGTAACAAGTTAGGATCACAGGAGGGAACTGATAAGGGTCAGGGGAAGAGAAATATGGGTGGACAATTTGAGGGGCCATCACAGAAGAAGTGCAAGTCCCTGGCAGGCTGCCAGAAATGCTGGGTGTGCCATTGTCGGGCTCCCATCTTAGCCCTGTGTTGGCTGTATCTCTTCCAAGTGCTGCATCATCCTCCTTTCAGCAGAGCTCACCCAGAAGCTCTCAGTCCACCGTGGCCTTGGAATTCTCACCCTGCTTCTCACCCAGTCTTCTGTCCTGGCACTCCATCAGATTCTTCAGTGCTGTCAGTAACACCTGTTTGGCCAAGTCCAAATGGCTCCCTCTCCCTGAGACACTGCCTTCCTCCTTATCGGTATTTTTCCATGTCCTATGCTAGGATGTTTCCGTCCTGCAGGATTCAGTCCCAGGACACTGGGTAGAGTCCCTCCCCTCAGCAGTCTCACCCATCTCGGGATTCTGTACATGGAGCTATGGTAAGTAGTGAACGGAAGGAGAAACTGGGGAGTGGTCATCTACATAAGGCTGACTACAGCTTTACCTCATAACATAAAACTATCTTGAAAATAATTTATGTTCTAGTTAACAAAAATTGTAGCTACACAGTATCGTTTTGTTTTAGTGACAATTTTCTGACAAAATGAGAGCATGATGTGACAACTGACTTCAAGGCACAATCATAAAGGAGGGTACTCAGCTGCACAAGTTTCCCACAGCTAAGCCTGGGAAATGCCTTGTCAGTTCTTTCGTCTCATCTTGACTGTCTCCTCAGTACGCCAGGTCCTTACTGGCCCAGGGGCCGGAATCTGCAAAGCTTGCCAACAGTATTTCCATCAACTTAATTAGAAGAAATTACTTTCCAGCTGTGCTTAACTTTGCAGAACCTTCAGCTGGACGGGCAGGGCATTAGGTCTCCCATCTCCTATGGCCACAGCTGACAGTCCAGAGAGGACACCTGGCCCAGGAAGAGTCATCAGAATCTTCCAGGGTGAAGCCTCAGGCTCTGCTGGGCAGCCAAACTGGAGAGGGAGACGGGGCAAGGTCAGCAGCCACGTGCTGGCAAGAGCTGCGTTGAGAGGATGAAACGGACACGAAGCAAAGAGCAGAAACATACATCCTGACAGCAGGTGAGTCCCTGATAACAACTGCCTGGGACCTGCCACAGTGCACTTACCTAGGCCTGTATGTTCTTTTCCTAAATTAATTTAAGCTGTCGTTTGTAAACAACTGTCTTTTAAGAACACTGTTTAAATAAAAGGTATAAGACTGGGGACCAGTCATGAGAGTAGATAGAAGGGGGCAGTTAGAATGCAGGAGAAGCCCCGCTCGCAGGCGCAATATCCACCTAGCCCTGAGAAGCCTAGAGGTGGCCTTCCTTGAGTAGCAAAAGTAATATTTACATTTTAAGTTACTGATCCTGTTTCCTGATACTATCAAACTATCCTGTTAGATTATGTAGGGCAAATTTGAAATCAATGAACTAGTAATGATATTTAAAAACTGACTGAGTTACATGTCAACAAGGCCGAGGTGAAACAAAATAGAAACTTAATAAAAAGCATATTATGACTTCAGTGTTCACGTCCAGCTTTAATGGGGGTTGTTTTCAGAATAGGAGAAAGACGCGGGGAAATGTGAACAGCAAAGTACGTTGAGCTCTGCGTTCACCTCATCTGTTCAATTTCCATAATGCACAGATGGTCCACTAGAATTTCTGCAGAAAGATACAAATACAAATATCAGGTATAATTCACAGCTATCAGCAAAACAAATGGCATGAGACTGGTTATGGCATGAGACTGTACGCAGAACAGCGGGGAAGACCCACATTGACGTCAGCACACCGTGTGGGGGGCTGGGATCCTGGGATCCCAGCTCTCTATAAAAGAGACGGGCTGCTAACCCACGATGGCAAACGTCAATTACACATTTTTACTACCGCTCAAATGTTAAGTTTGAATGCTTTCCTCAGTGACGCGCGGTACACTCACCCCACTGGCTTTGGTGCTGCCACATCTCGGATGCAGTGTCCTTCACCCTTGGTCAGGAACACTTCATTGGGTGGCACGGCCTTAACTGCCACTGGAGTAGCTAGGTTTCGGTTGTATTTGGATAGAATCTTAAAACCAAACAAATTCCTTTTATGAAGCTATATGAACAATATAAATTGGGAAGGTGTTACAAAACATTCAAGGAGAGTTTGACGATATGGGTTACTGGAAAAAGAAGTTTTTAGCAACATAGAAAGGAAGGCGATATCAGAAACCTGCCTGGGGTGTGGGCACTTGACTTCTAAAGCCTTCTAAAACATACGCTACGGTTAGTGGGCACAAATAGCACCGCATTCCTGATGAAGAGCTAAGCCTTTACAAAGGTCTAGGGAAAATACAGAGGGAAGAGGCGGAATAAATGCTCAGAAGAAAGATCATCAGTTCTACAAATTATAAAAAGAAGAATCTGAAATTTCAGCTTTGATGTTTTTCATAGAGATTCCCTCTTTTAACACAGAAATAAAAAAAGAAAGATCGACGACAGCGAGGTGAACGCTATATAAGGGGACAGAAGCTGCCCCCTCCTCACTCAGTTTACTACAATGCCCAGGAAAGCAGACACAGAGAAGGCAGGTAACAGACACTTCACTGGTATCTTAGGGCGAGTCGTTCTAATGGCATCTGGGTATTTTCCCAAGTACTTTTATACTTCTCATACCTATCCCTAAGCTAGGAAGGTTTCTACAATAGAATGGTTATCAAGAATTGCATTTGCCTAACTAAGTGACAGTGACCACACACTGTAACTTCTATTAAGGGGGAAATGCTAGGAATCAGACTGCTGGTTACTGAGTAGGTGTGAAGTCATAAATCAGTAGTGGAATAGTGGTAAACGATGCTGTGCTAAGGAGTCAGACACTCTAGCACACCTACCAGTGTTTCTCAAATTGAGCTCCAGCACATGTCAAGTTCAACAAACACTGAGGTAAGTTAGTCATGACCCCCCACTATGGAGAACTGTAGGGTAAAGGAGATTCCTGACTTTACAGCAACACCTCCCCACCTTGGGAACAGCAGCTGACATGGCTATCACACCTGAACAACTATTAGAAAATATAAGGATACATTTCAGAACATGAAGTTAGAGAAAATGCCCCACAAGGGCATAAAAGCATGATGATGTCACCAGCCTGTGTACAGCCAGCATTAGAGGGGCCTAGACCCAGAATTTAGATTTTCTTAACACCCAAACCAGCACATTAGCTCAATGAGAAATACTACAGTTTACATATTATATATATCTAACTTTGAAAAAAATATATCAAAAAAATAGCGTGGAAAAATAACCTGGAGAATATCTTCTGGAATTGTAGTTACTCTGGGAGGCGTAGGTGTTCTGAGCAGATTCTCATAAGAAGAAATCAGAGGAGAAGAGGGAGCCGCGAAATTCTCAAAGCACTTGTCTAAATTTAAAACTAACGATGTGCAGTCTTTCTTTTCCAAATCATTTGATGAACTATTTGTTTCTGATAGTGGATCATTTGTGGATACCTAAGGAATAAAAACAAGTCATCAAATTATGGTGGTATAAAATAATATAGTAAATAAAAACTGTTAGTTGTTAGTTCTGTCGGGGTCTCTAAGTGGCCTAAATGACCCCCTCTCCCCTGACTAAGCAGTGAATAAAATCAAGGAAACAAAGGAATGGCAAATGGAGGACAAAGTACCACCTTCGTTACTATTGGGTTGTTGGAAAAGTTGGAAAAAAAATGCATTTTTGCAACGAAAAACAGAAAAAATACGTCATGACATTTCCGACAACCCAATAATACAGGCTGAGCTAGAGCTTACTATGAAACTGACTGAACCCCCGACTTGGATGTATCCATGCACCCAGTCTCAGGCCACACTAAACCAGGCCACGTAGCAGTCACAGCATGGATGAGCCGGTGTCACCACACGCCTTCAGCACCAAGAGGAAGAAAGCAGATTTGAGGTAAGCCCAGCACTTGGTTTCTCTATAGCTGCAGTGTCCAACAAACTAGCCACAAGCCCCCGGGGTTATTTAAATTTAATTTTAAATTAGTAACATTAAAAATATAACAATTAGCTCCGTGGGTGCACATGCCACATTTCATGTGCTCAGTAGCTAGCTATGACTAGTGGCTACCATGGTGGACAGCACAGAATACAGGACACTTCCATTATTGTAGAAGGTTCTATCGGATAGCCCAGTCTACTACATTGGTTGTCTTAAGTATTCATACCAACTTTAAAAAGGGATGAGGTTTTCATTATAGTAAATTTGTTTACTGGGGAAAATCGGGGGGGGGGGAACATAAAAACCACCCATAAATAACCACTTGGTGTGATTCTATCTATTCTTTTTCCTTAAAATACAGCAGTCCTCCCTTATCTACAGGAGATGTGTTCCCAGACCCTCTGGATGCCTGAAACCCCGGATAGTACTGAACCCTCTATGTACTGTTTTTTTCCTACACATATAAACCTATGAGAGAGTTTAATTTATAAATCAGGCACAGTAAGAGATTAACAAAAACTAGTAATAGAACAATTATAACTACACTGTAATAAAGGTTATGTGATGAATGGCTTTGGGGCCATTATTAAATAAAGTAAGAGTCACTTGAACAGAAGCCCAGTGATATTGAGACAGTCAGTCTGAAAAAGAAGATGCTGCTGAATGTCTACTGGGCGGGGAGTGTCTACAGCATGGAGACGCTGGACAAAAGGGAGGGCTCACGTCCGGACGGGACAGCAGGACAGCATGAGATTTTATCACGCTCCTCAGACTGGTGCACAATTTAAGACATGACTTGTTTATTTCTGGAGTTTTCCATTTAATATTTTCAGACTGTGGTTGACCATGGGTAACTGAAACCGCGGCAAGCAAAACTGCAGGTAAGACAGGATGTGCGCGTGCGCACGCATGTGTGTGTACACACACATACATGTCATTTTCCATATCATTAAATATTTCTTGAAAACATTCTCTTTATATGTTCTTATCTGTTTTTCAAAAACATTTGGTAGTCATAGAACATAATACCTTATAAAAATACCTTAATGTATTTCGCTTCTACTCTACCGTTTCACATTTAGATTATCTCCCATGTTTTGCTCTTATAAGTAATGTTGTCTGTCCTCTGTAACTTCCTTGTTATAACTTTTTGTCCCAGTGTGCCTTGGAATAAATTCTGAGACATGGTTAAAGGGTAGGAAAACTTTAAAACTCCTGATATATACTGCTAAATTACCCTCCCAGAAATACACGATAAATACACAACTAAAGGCTGTGTTAGTCTATGTTGTTTAAACACACAGTTTAAGTCTGGAATTAGTAGTATATCGGAGTCATTAGAAACAAAATTAGAGCTTTCAATTTTATGGAAATTTACCAAAGCTGTATTATTATTTGTAGAAGGAATTTTCAAACCAGGCGTGCAGAATGTAGGTGCCAAGGGAGACGCTGTATACTCAGCATCTAGAAGACACATACAATGGTGTGAAAATAAAGTTGAAATAAAGATTTCAACTTTTAAGTTATAATACTTGTCAATATAATTTGTGCATTTTATTTTTAATAACTGAAGAAATGATAACTGATGTGTGCTTGACTAGACAGAAAAAAACAAAACTCACATTCACATATCTATCATTAGCACTAATAAAATTCAGCAAGGTACAAGTGTAATATACAAAAATGAATAGTTCTAGCAACAATTAAAAATATAATTTGAAAAAATATGTTTTGAAAACTATAGCAAGAAAGAATAGCAAGAAAGAAGAGCAAGATATCCACACATAAATCTATTAACAACTGTGTAAGTAAGAACTTTATAGAGAAAATCAAATTTCTGAAGAATCAAAAGGAGGAAGATAGCAAGGAGGTCACTCACCATCCAAGATGTTGGGTGGCAGTAATTTAAATAGTGTAACATTGGCCAGGGATGGAAAATTGATTATTAGAACAAAAAGGAGATCCTAGAAACAGAACCACACGTATAGACATTTGATATCTATAACACCCAGCACCATGAATGCAATCTTAACATATATCGAAGAGAAACACTGAACATGTTAGGAAAATGATCACACTGGCAAAATCTGGTTGGGTCTAAAAATCAAGTGCTGGAAAAGATGGAGAAACAGGAACTCAAGCACGGCTGGTGAGGATAAAACCGAACACTCACTCCCAGGGTAGCTTAGCATTTTCTAGACTAAGTGGAGGTGTGCGTCCCCTTTGACCTAGAAATTCTGCTCCTACGTGTAAGAAACACATGTGCACGGGGGTAGCTGTCATTAAAGCACTGCCTGTAATAGTAAAAAAATAAAAACAACCTAACTATCCATCAATAAGCAAATGAACAAATAAGATGGCTTGTTCATATAATGGAATTCTGCTGGACCATTAAAATGATGGACTGTATGTACATGGATTAATGTAAAAAACAGACTGTGGAGTGTAAAAGCAAGAGACAAGAAAATATGAATTGGATGTTGCCACTTATGTGAAGTTTTAGAACACACTGCTTTACGAGGTCTGACAATTAAGTTCGCAAACTCATCCTAGAAAAAGTGCTCCATATCTCATTGCTGAATATCACCATGGTCACCTTCGAAGTACTCCCCTTGGAAAGCTATGCACCAATGCCAGTGCCTAGTCCACCCTTCAAAGCATTTTGGAACTCTTTTTCTGGAATGGCCATCAGAGCTGTTGTCATATTACCCTTGATGTCCTGAATGTCATCCAAATATCTTCCTTTCAATATTTCCTTTATCTTTGGGTAAAGAAAGAAGTCATTGGGGGCCAGATCAGGTGAGTAATGAGGGTGTTCCAATACAGTTATTTGTTTACTGGCTAAAAACTCCCTCACAGATAGTGCCGTGTGAGCTTGTGAGCTGGTGCATTGTCATGATGCAGGTGCCATGAATTGTTGGCGAAAAGTTCAGGTCATCTAACTTTTCACACAGCCTTTTCAGCACTTCCAAATAGTAAACTTGGTTAACTGTTTGTCCAGTTGGTACAAATTCATAATGAATAATCCCTCTGATATCAAAAAAAGGTTAGCAACATCATTGCAACAAGTTCTCGAACTTATTGCCAGACCTCCTAATCGTTACTTTCAGGGAGGAGGGGAAGGAGAATAATGGAGTGTGGCTGGAAAGTTGGCTTTATGTGTAACTTTAACCTTAAAAAAAGAAGCAAATACAGCAAGACAGTAACACCTATCTTGTGCGGTTTTAAACACAAGTACAGGCTATGTGAGGAACTGAAGTGGATGTGATGCAGAGTGCCGAGGCCTAAAGAGCAGTAAGGGCTGTGAATCAGGGACCAGAAACATCTGCCCATTGCCTCCAAGGCAGCAGGATGAAAGCAAGCGAGGTTAATGGTAGAAAGTCTTTGAGAAAACACTGAACACTCAGAATCTCAGTCCACCCAGTGCAGAGCTGCAGGTTCTGAGTTCATCCCCATCCAGTGCAGGTATTCTGAGCCAAGCATTAACCTGAGAACTTGTCTACACTTAGTAAAACATGAGGCCTTGGCTGGGGTAAGCACAAAACAGCTCCATGGGGCACACACAAATGCCAGTGAAAACAACTTCATCTGAAGATGACTTCACAGTTAAGGAAACAAGCCCCCCACAAAGAGAATCAGAGTGATAAAGACAAAAGAGAGCAACAGCTTAAAGAGTCTTTCAGATCCACGTATTCAAAATGTTCAAAGATATAAACAAAGACACAGAAATCATAGGGCAAGAGAACGATATAGAAGGAAAAACAGGAACGGTCATATTTGAAAGAAAAAACTTGTAAAACAAAAATGTACTAAGAATTCAAGTGATGGATTAAAATAATAATTTAGATTCCATGTAAGAGAGAGCGAGCGAACAAGCAAATTGGAAGGAAGCTCTAACTATAAAGCAATAAGCAGCACAGAGATGGAAGGAAACTATCAGCGGGTAACATTCTAAAATATATCACACAGGAATCTCAGGAGACAAAATTGAGGAATTAGGGGCCAGGTAGTATTATTAAGAGGTAATGTAGAAGTATCTTCCAAAATAGATGATGAGTACTTAGTTTGAAAATTCATACCAAATTCTAAACATAATAAATGAAAAATATATACGTTATAAAGAAATGTAGACTATCAAAGATAAAGACAAATATCATATAGACTACCAAAAACAAAAGACATTTTCTACAAAGAAAAGCTGATTAGACCAATTGCACTCTGCTCATCAGCAGCAAAATACCAGACCAAAACAGAATGTCTTTAAAATATTGAAGAAAAACAGCTGTCAATCTAGTCCTCTATATCCAGCTAAATTATCATTCAAGAATGAGCGAAAGAGAAAGAAAAAAATGTTTTCAGACATAGAAAAATAGAGATGACTTCACACAGAACTAACGCCTCTGGAAGAACTGCTAAAGGATGTACTTTAACAAGAAAACTGAACCCAGAAGGAATGAGTGGGATACAAGATGCAATTTTAAACATAAAAAAATGGTAAGCAAATGACTAAATTTTAGTAAGTATAGAATATAAAAATTGTAGTAATAGTTCTTTAGTGGCATAAAAATAGGGTCAGACTAAAATACAGCAGAAACTCTTTAACAAGCCTCCATTTAATCAAATTACTAATGGATAAGCTCCAAGTCAAGTAGTTGTCTTCAATCTAGTTGTGGAGGGTGCAGCTCCTTGGCCCATGTGGGAATCGAACCCGCAATCTTGGTGTAATGAGCCTGCGCTCTAACCACCTGAGCTAACCGGACACCCCTAGGCTATTCTTTAATACACTCATGTTTTTTCTTATAAGCTGAGCTGTAAGCTTACTATGAGTCAGTTGTATTCTTTCACACCTGTTTATGCCAGAGGTGCTTGTTAATTTAATAACAAGTCATTGAAACTAGTATAAAGAGAATTTTTCTGAAAACATACAAAACTTTGGAAAGACCTCATAAAGACAAGTAACTTTAGGATTTCTTATATTTTATGAAAATCAGTATTTTTATGCTTGCAGGGACAAATATGAAAAAAACTACATGAAAATTTTAAGTTCTTGTACTATTTAAAAATACCGAAGGGCCGGACGAGTGGCTCAGTTGGTTAAGAGCTTGCTCAAGAGTTTGAGCTCTGAGCAACAGCAGTTCGAGTCCAGCCCGAGCTGAGCAGCCGCTGAGCTGCCAACAGGTAGCAGGATGGCTCAGCAAAAAAAAAAAAACAACAAAAAAAACACCGAAATTTGAAATGGTAGCTGATGCATTCTGGTTGTGGTTTATTTAAGAAAGGCAATGCAGAATTCTAACCAATAGGCTAAAGCTAAACTAAAAAGGGTACTATTGGGTCTACGTCAAAAGACTGGTGAATGGCTATGTATTTATAGGTTTTAAGTTAAAATGTTAAGAACAAACAAACAAGCTGAGAAATACTGGCTATAATCAGGAAGAGTATGAAAAGCATATCAGAAAATTCTTTCTCTTGTATGAACCTGAATGGAATGGTACTTAATAGAGCTCAATGACATGAGCTGAGAGTATGCAGAAGGCTCCTGGAACATCCGCACAAAGACCACCTGGGAAGTCAGCGGGGTTTTACACTCACCATTTTTTCCCAACTGCTGGTTCACGAGGCCAGTAGTGGCAAAGAAATTATCAGTGGACACTGGTTCTGTTTCTATGGCTTCCTCACTGGCGTGATTAACAGGGAAGTTAAAAGGTTAAAAAAGTTAATATTAAATCTCTGGGAAAAACCTAATCTTACTATATAGATCATCAAGTTTGGACAAATATTCAGTCCTGTATTATGGAACAGAAGGCCCATGGAACAATTTTTATTTTAAATGTATAAACATGGCTCAAAAAAGATTAAGCACCATTTTGTATTGATAGTTTTGACTTAGAAGGGTGTTAACAATCTCTGAGTTAAAGGAAAGCCGTAAGTTCAACTGATTATATAAATCAAATCATTACATAAATTAGAGTGTTTCTGGGCTATTCTGTTCGTTACAGGCCCATTCTGTGACACTGTCATACCGTTTTACTTACTGTGGCTTAATATACTTTAATATCTAGTAGGTCACATCCCCTCAGTACTGTTATTTTTCATTGTTTTCTTAGCTATCCTTTTTATTCTTCCAAATAAATTTTAGAATCCTTTTGTTAAATATACCTCTCCTCCTTAAAAAAAAAAAATCCTATGGCGGCTTTGTTGTAATTGCATGACACCTAATTTGATATGATTAAATATCTTAATAATATTCTGTTATCCTATTTGGGAATATATTATCTTTCTTCATCCTAAAGTTCCCTTTATATAACTCAGAAATGTTTGATGGTTTTAATCATATAGGCCTTTCATCTACAAATGGCATGGGTATTTTATTTTTTGTTGCAAATTTGAATGGATTTTTTCCACTATATTTACCAACTATAGTTATTAACAAAATGCAGGAAAACATATTATTTTAAATGGTTATTTTTCATGTATCTGAACTTTCCAAATTTCCCAATACTATACCCTGTATTACTTCTAATAGCTTAAAAAATAAAATACATAGCCCTTAGTTCCTAATTTTGTCATTTGCATTTAGGTTTAAATAAAAGGCAGTCCTTAGATTTATCAATTCTACCCTTCTAAAAATCTTTTGTAATAACATTTTATCTTCAGTGTTTATTCCCTTCTCTTTTCCCCCAAATTGTGGGTTTTTTGGGCATCTTTTAGATAAACGTTCATTTTCCTCCTTTAACAATTACAGTTCTTAAAGATTTACATTTAGACATTACTTGGCTCCTTTGATACGTGGTATTTTCATTGTCAATGTAACTCTTTAATTACCATTTTCACACTAATCACTCCCAATTTCTTTAGTCTAGCAGAAATTCATCACTGAGCTTCAAATTCATATTAAAATACCCAAGTTTAAGAGCACCTTTACAGGCTCCTCCAAATCAACAGGTAAACACATCACCTTTACCCCCAAGTAGCAGGTATTCCTTCATTCTTCCCCTAGCGTCATCCCAGGCAACAGAGCAGGGATCCGGGATTTATCCTAGATCCCCTCTCTTCCCAAGTCTCTATACTAAATCAACACCAATTCTTACTGATTTTACCCCTTTAATCTTATCGTTGCTTCTGTATCCCACCAAATACCTTCCCCCCCCCCCAGGCCCTTTTCACTCCTATAGCATCTAACTCCACAAAACCAATAACTCGTACTTCACTAATGGAATTGGTGATTCAGAGAAGTTTGAAATAAGAAGTATCTGAAAATCTTTTAAGGAAAGATACAGTCTGAAACATGATCTCTCTTCTAGGAAAAAGTCAGTAAACACAAAAAATTTAGAAAATTAGATAAAACATGCTTTTTAAGAAAGCTGCTCTCACCTCCTATTCTTTCTGATTTTAAGTCCCATGGTGTAATCTTCATTCAAACACATCGTATATTCAGAGATACCAACGTGTTCTAATTTAGGAATCACACACTCAAAATCGTCCATATTCAGTGCACACTTTGGAGTTTTCAGTATTTTCACTCGTGACTGTTGGGATGATGGAATTAACACTTTTGGCCCTTCGTTTTGGTTGTTTTCCACCTGTGGAGGGTTTGGCAGGACTTGCGATATGAGGTACCGCTCAAGGCCAAAATCTGCAAGTTGTGGACTACCTGGAGACTTCTCAGCAACAGAGCTGCTTGGGCCAGCAGGATCAGACATGTCACCCTTCACATCAGGCTTCTGAAGAGTCTCATCCCTAGTGGACTCTGGTTCAGAGTCAACGACTTCTTGCTCACCCACTGGGAGGAGAAATCAAGGTCATGTTCTATTCACACATCAGAGAATCTCATGTACTAAAACCACATAAACTAGCTCCATCTGAAATGTCCCAAACCAGCAATGTTCTGATTCTTTCTCCTTAGTCTCTAAAGTTTTATTTCAAATTCCTGATGTGTACCCATTGTCCATCCATTTTAATGACTGACATATTAGAGAAAGGAAGTAAACTAGTATTCAAAGATGAAAAAGCAATACACACAAATGTAAGTCCAACTTCCTTACTTCCCCACTTAATGTAATTTACAGTCATTCTTAATATATCAGGAAACTACTGTATCATTCAATGACATTAATCAGTGTGGAATTAACTACAATCTAGATTTATTATAACACAAAGTATAAAAATATTATTTTGGATTTTTAACTTACATATGCCTAAAAAGGAAAGACTTATACAAAGATACATACATTTTTATCCTAAGCAAGTCTAGAATGCACGTCAAAAGCCTACTAAGAGAAGTAACAGGCGATTGTTAACAAAGACATGCAGGTCCTCAATCTTGAATAGGCTACATCTGGCTCCAGACCCCAATGCTTAACCACCACACTGTCCATTTCAGACTAAATCATTTACTAACAACTATACTTTTGCCACAGTCCTCTGTCATTTCCTGGGTACACTACTGGTTAATAAATTTGGTGTGGAACTTAAGTTGGAGTTAAAAGACCCAGGATAGCACCTGCAATGCCAAGGCCTTTGTGTTTCTGTTAATTCCATCTTTTAAAGGAATGTCTTTAGTTGAAATGGGGTCTATCAGATATTGGTATGGATCCCTGTCAGAATCTCTGGGTCCAAAGGAAGAGGAAAGGGATAAATTTAGGCTGTACATTTACTTGACCAGCTGAGATCCAACAGACTGGAAGAAACAGAGGGGCATACATTTTCTTTGAAGATATTACTTTCTTTGTTCTGATTGGCCACTGAAATTAACTAGGATAGGGTACCATTTCTGTGTGCATAAGCCTGAATACGTTCAATCTGGAGGATGCATCATACAAAAAAAAGTTATAAACTTTGATTACATGGCTTTTGGCCCTTGGAAGAGCCACCTGCTGATTTTACATTGTGCTTTCTGTTGATTCTGAGAAATGTTACAAGGGCTACAAAAAAACCTATTGCTATACCTATCACAAGGCTGTCATTGATGAGATGAACAAAATAAACTCATCATCATTATCACCACCCGATAGGGAGGTACTATCATCCCCATTTCACAACTGAGGGAAAAGCAATTTAGAGAAATTACCCCCAGTCACACACAGAGTAGCATGTCTGACTGGCTGGGCAAGTATCTGAATCCATGCCCTGTTCACACCAGAGTCCACTGAGTTCTGTCCACTACGCCACACGGGCTGTTTAATACACTTCCACATGTATCCTCAATACGTACTTGTTGGATTTAATTAACGTTTTACTTATGTACAAGATCATTCCCATAATGGAAATGAAGACACTGAAGCATCCTGAAATGAGTCAATCAAAGGTACAGGCAAAATAACAATATTAATCGCCTGGTGATTAACATGCCAGGTACTGTTCTAAGCAAATTTTATCTCATTTAATCCTAATACAAACTGAAAGGCAGATACTCTTTACATACCTCCACAGTACACACAAATGAGAAACTGAGGTACAAGGTTAAGTAGCTGATCAAAGACAACAAAACTAGTGAGTGGTGGAATCAGAGATTTGAACTCAGGCAGTTTGGCTCTGAATTTAAAACCACCATGCTATACTACCCTTCATAAGAATTTTTAAACTCAACAGGACTTAATCGATTTATATTGCCAAAAATCTCTCATTCTACAGAAGAAGAAATTGAGAACAAGAAAAATGAAACAACCTGCCTGAAGGTCAGCCTCTCATTTATTAGGAGAGCGGACTAGAAACCAAGTTTCCTAAAGTCACAGATTTATCTTGTACTCTTCTTTCCTCTAGCACTGCTAGTTTTCTAATTTTTAATAATTTTTTGTTTTCCAATGACACTTGATAAACGTGTTAGTTCCCGCCTTGCACTTTGGAAAGGAGAGCAAGGACTGACCTTATCCTGTACCACCAATCAGCACTGAATCCAGAATACAGCAGTTGTGTCTTAAATGATCCAATGACAGTCACATATGACAGAGCAAGAACTAGAGACCAGGGCCAAGCCCACCAACAGTCCTAATCATGCTACCCTCCTTTAATACTACAACAAATGCTATAAAATGCAAGTTATTCACACCTGAATTTTTCTTGGCACGTGGATTATATCCATACTTCTGGAAAAACTCTCTTATTTTCATGATATCCATTGAATTTTTTTTCATCAGTACTTTTGTTGCCTTTATGAAAACAATGCTTTCTTTACTTTCCAAGCTTGCTTTGTCAAGAAGAGTACTGATATCATCCTTTTGAGAAAAGAAAGTACATTAGAATCTCTCTAACTTTTGACTAAATCTATTTAGATTTTAAAAAATTTTTTATTAGTTTCAGGTGTATATTTAGATTTTTTTAAATTACATAAAAATGATAATATTATAGGAGTGATACCTTTAGAGTCCAAACTTCTGAATGAAGGTCATGTAAAATTCTCATTGGATAATGTTCAAAGTCTTCAATACGAATATTTGGAAAAAGAATAGAAAATATAATTTGGTTTACTTTCTTAGAATTATAAAATCCCGTATTTATTTATAATGTATATTGTTAATCACAAAGAAAACTGTTAAGGCCTTTCTTTAAAATTTTATCAACTATAATACTGTACACATATAGAAAAATACAGAAATCCTAAGTATATAGCTTGATGAATTTTCAAAGTAAACACCTACATAATCAGCACTCAGATTGGGAAGGAAGGAGGGAGGAAGAGAAAGGAAGGAGCAAGGGAGGGAGCAGAGGAGGAGGGAACATGGTCCTACTGAGCATTTTTTCCTTTATGGTACTTTTTGATTCCTGTTCTAAAAATCTTTGCCAATGTCAATACTTAACGTTTTCTTCTAAAAGCTTTATTGTTTTGCCTTTTGTTTGAGAGCTAAAATCCATCTGGAATTGATTTTTGTGTATGGCATGAGGTAAGGATGAAGATCCATTCTTTTTTTCATGAGTGTACAATTGACCTGGCACCATTTACTGAGAAGACATCCTTAACCCACTGTATGTCACCTTTCTTATTAATCAGTTGGTCATATATATACCATAAAAGCAGGATTTTAAAGGATTATGTTTCTCTTTTCTAAAACATGCCTCCTTTAAAGATCTCCTTTCACCTATTAAAAGACAACCAATTTTCATTAGGGAAATGCAAATCCACACCACAATGATTTTATTTTTTAAACAAACTAGAATGGCTATAATAAAAAAGACAGATAATAACAAATGTTGATGAAAGTGTGGAGAAATTGCAACAACCATTCATTGCTAGTGGAAATACACTACAGTGCATCACTTTGGAAAACAATTTGTCAGTTCCTCAAAAAGTTAAATATAGGGTTACCATATAAGCCGGCAATTCCACTTCCAAGTGTATATCCAAGAGAACTGAAAACATTATGTTCACATAAAAACTTGCACACGAATGTTTATAGCAGCATTGTTCATAATAGCCAAATGTGGAAACCACCCAAATGTTCATCAACTGAGGAACAGATAAACAAATGTGGTCTCTCCATACAATGGAGTGTTATTCAACAATGAAATGGAACGAATACTGACATGTTATGACATGGATGAACCTTGCAACCTGATGCTGAGTGAAATAAGCCAGCCACAAAAGGCTACATGTTGTATGATTCCATTTATATCAAATGTCCAGAATAGCTAAATCTATAGAGACAGAGAGTACATTAGTGTTTGCATAAGGCTAGTGTGGTAGGTGGGGGTGGGACTGTGGGGAGTGGCTGTTAACAATCAGAAGGGTTTATTCTGGGGGTGATGAAAATCTAAACTTATTGCGATGACGGTTGTACAACTCTGTGAACATACTAAAAGCCACTGAATTGTATCCTTTAAATGGTGAATTTTACGGTATGTGAATTATATCTCAATAAAGATGTTTGAAAGTAAACCAATTTAATGATTCATCACTGTGATGATAAAAGGTAAAATTTTCTCTATCACAATTCTATATTTGGGCCAGGAATTGAAAAATTATTTCAATATTTTCTTGTAAATCAAAAAAGAAAATGCAGAGGTTGTACCCATGGGTAAAATGCTAGTCAGAAAGTAAATTTGCACAAGTTTTGTGGAAAGCAATTCAGCTATATATCAAGAATTTAAAAATGTTAAAACACTTTTGTGTCTTATATAATATTATTTCAACTCTGTAAACAAAATCAAACAAACATGAAGAAACTCTAAGAATACGAATGGTAGAAAAGCTATTAGAGTATTAATAGTGGTGTCTTCTGATGGTGGAGTCACAGGGCATATTTATTTCTTCTGTTTTTCCTTATCTCAGAATTTTGCCATATAGTTTTTCCAATCACAAAAATAAAGATTTTTAAATGGCTGGGAAAGTATTCGTAATATAATTAAAGTAAAAGGACTGTGTCTACAGGGTGCAATATTTTAAGGCACATTACAATTACGACATTTATTAAATCTGAACTTGTCTTGCAACAACTTTTAAAAACCTGTAATACAAAGATTACTGGTGGAGAATTCTGATTTATGTACAAAAAAAGCAGCAACAGTACTGTTTGTGTTGGCAATATGGTTCTTTGGGAAAAATACATTTACTCCAACTGTGGACCATCTGGGTGAGGCAAAAGTCACCATACGTGTAAATAACAGTGTTAAGTAGATACGTTTTAAAAGGAACTGTTTAATTTTTTTCATACTGCATGTTTATTGATAAGCACACATTCTATGAGACTCAAAAGCATACCATGCGGAAATCAAGTATGCATTCTGGGCTCAATCTGTCCCCGGTGCCACCGGTTCTCTCGGTAGCGTAGCAACAGTGCTGCTTTCCTGGCCTGAGGAAAGCTGTGGTAGCACAGACTGACGTAGGCGCGCAGCACACCAGAGGGGTCCGCCGAAATGACAAAAGGGAGCATTCGCGACCCTCAGGGATGTGCTACGATGGTCCCGTCCGCACGCCAGCAAGTGCCGCACACCCACACCGCGGACGAACAGCATTCTCCGTGACTGTGCGCGTTCCGACGGGCGCGTACCCTTCAGACGCCGTCCGGATCCCGCGCCGGAGCCCCACCCACCCGGCCGCCCCACTCACCGCTGTCTTCCCCGTCCAGCGCCCGCTGCAACCGAGCCGTCTCGCTGTCTAGGGTGACGGCCAAAGACCGCAGCTTCCCGCAGAAGCTCCGGATCCGGTCCATGCGAAGGACACCCCACCGCTCGGGATAGCGCCCGCCTCTCGTTTGAATCTCTCGGCGCCGCAAGTGTCATTGGCCCAGCGATGTCCAAGTCCTTTCTCGCGAGAGCGGAAGTCTCGCGGAAGGAAGCAGGAGGCCTGGCGTAGTGGGCATACTTCCGGCGTAGCGGCAGCCGGGGTACGGACGGACGTGCGGTTCCCGAGGCGCGCGACTGGTGAGTGCATTGGGTTCCTGGGCCCCTGGGATTCCGGGGTGGGCGTCTCACTTCCCTACGGGGCGGCGGTGCACTGCCTCGGGGACGCCGCTCACCTCCCGCGGCCGGGCGCGTCACCACTTCGCTCTTTGGTCTCTGTCCCCCGCAGACGCCATGTTCCTGACCGCCCTCCTGCGCCGCAATCGCATCCCCGGCCGGCAGTGGATCGGGAAGCACCGGCGGCCGCGCACTGTGTCCTTTCACGCGAAGGAGAACACGATCCGTCGCCTGGAAACCGAGGCGGAGAACCACTACTGGCTGAGCATGCCCTGCCTCAGCGCCGAGCAGGAGTACGGGCATGCCGCGGCCCGCAGGGCGGCCGCCTTCCGTGCTATCAAGGCGGCCAGCCAGGCCAAGTTCCCCGCGCACAGATTCCTCGTCGACCAGCTCAGCCACCTCAGTGTCACCAAGAAGTGGCCCTGACCGGGGCCGCTTCCCTCTCGGCACCTGATCTGGAACTGGAAAACTAACGTCTAGAAGTGTGAGCCTTTGGACCATTCGTAAGAAACAGACCGCAGGCGTGAGCACAACGTCTGCATAGTGTCTGGGCTCCAGCCCTCAGACTCCAGGCTCATCCCTGGTTTATCGTGTTTCTTTTTCTTTACCCTCGGAGGAAGATACCAGGGATTTGCCTGGGTCACGGACGACGTAAGATGTATTTTGGATGAAAGTTGCAATAAAGCTGCAGACCATGGTTTGGGATTTGTGTCAGACATTTAATGGGGTTAGTTTGCTTACTTTCTGTCAAGAATACTTGCTTAAACGTAAATGAAAACAGGAGCTTTTTCAGTTAAACATGTCCCTAAAAATAGCATTTTCTTCTGGCATTTCTACTGAAAGTGGATATTTAAATGAAATAAGGTATTTGTGAGATCTGCTACATGAAGGTGTATTTCGAAAAACATCTTTATTGGGATGCAGTTAATATACAACTCATCTCTTGAAGATGTTTTTCAAATAACTTTTTTCTGAACATAATAAAAAGTCACTTTACATGTGTTACCAGATACAGCAATCCTGTCACTTGGGACAAATATACACATGAGGAAACATTTAAGGAACTTCCAAAATAACACTCCCAGTAATTACAGCGACTTTAATTAGAATTGCTGTATAATCCATAAATCTTAACTGCTGTGTGTAATCAATTTTCAAAATGCATAGAAGGGAATAATTCTCTCCCTGCCTTCTGTACCCCCATCCAACTTGGGAAACGCACAGGCACACCACATGTGCTTCCAAACCTGAGTGTGATATGTGTGCAGGTTTCTGCAATTTGATTTGTTCACTTAATGCCTTGAAGCTCTTTCTCCTGGAGTGCCGTCTTTTTTTAAAGAATCTAGCTCTACAAAACCTTTAAATGGCTTCACTGTAACCTGAATACAGTAACATAATTTAGCTAGGTTCCTATTGATGGTCATTGGTTTTCCTTATTTACTGCTTTTTAAAAAGCCCAGGAAACACGTCTTTTTTTTTCCTTTTCATGTAGGGAAAAAGCCAGTTCCTTCTGCGTCTCCTGTGTGTTTCACTGTCTGACATAGCATCAGATCCCACAGGTTAAGTACTCCATCCCACAAAACTGTTCCTCGTGCAAGTAGTAGGTCCCAAGGTTACTTACCAACAACTTCTGTTCAGCTTAGCTACAAATGAAGGTTCCCACAACCCCCTCCTCAGTTTCAAGTCAATTGGCTCAAGCGGCTCACAGAACTCAGGGAAACACTTCAGCAGTTTATTAAAGGATACGGACACATAACAGCCAGGTGAAGAGATGCACAGGGCGAGGTCTGAGGGTCCCAACCAAGCATAGGAACTGTTCCAGTGGAGAGTTAGGGTGCATCAACTTTTAGGTGTGGATGTGTTCACAAGCCTGGAAGCTTTCCAAACCCCCTACAATTGGGATTTATTGGGGTTTTGTGGAGGCTTCCCCACATGGGAATGGTCAGTTAGTAACTCTGTTTCTAGCCCCTCTAGAGGATGAGGCTTACGGCTGAAAATTCCAAGCTTCTAATCTTTTTCTACTACTTCTGATGACCAGCCCCCAGTGCTCTTACTATTGAGGAAATCACAAAGATTTCAGGTGCTTTGTGTCAGGAACTGGGGGCAGAGACCAATACATGTTTTTTCTATTATCTCAAACCTTATATGCGTATCTAAGTTCTTAGGAGTGGGGCTGCCAGTACAGAGGTTATGCAGTGAAACTGACAATAGGCCACATTCCTTTACAGCTAAGCCATTTTACACCCACCAAAAAGGCATCCCAGCCCACATCTTCAGCAACACTGCAATTACCTATTTAAGCAAAAATGGTTTTATTGCTAATTTCATTTACATGCCATTAGTGAAGCTGAGCATCTTTTTCCATGCTGTGTCACTGATCATTCCTATTTCTTTTGTAAATTTGTTCTATCTCCATTTTTTTCTCTGTTGGTGCTTTCTAACATTTTCACATTCTCAAATGTTATGGTCACCACCAGTATGCCTGCTTAGCAATGCCTGTCCTATCCCATTATAAAACCGTGTACCATCTTCTCTTGCAGTACACTTCTGTTTTCATTTTCCAATACTTAAGCCCAACAGCCATCTGGAATTTGTTCTGATGTGAGATGTGATGGGTACAAGCAACTTCATTGTTTCCCAAATGCCTAGCACTATGGTCCAGCATCATGTCAATTAATATGTCTTCCCCCACTGATCTACAATGTGTAAGGCACCAATTTTTTTTTTTTTACAAGTAGTAAGTGCACATGGTATGAAAGTAAAATAGCATGAAAGGGTACACAGTGAGCCTATTACCCCTCGTTTTCCTCTCTGGAGGCAATCCCATTAATAGTTCATTAAGTCTCCTTTCAGATGTGCTACTGCACAATCATAAATGGAGGTGGGGCATTTTGGTTGTTCCCAGTCTTGTTGCTTCAAACAGTCTGCAATGACTATCCTTATAATTATTGCTCATAATGCATAAGTACTATAAATATATGAAACTCCTAAATGTAGAACCTGATAGGTCACAGAATATAGGCATCTGAAAACTTGATATTGTCAAATTGCTCTCCACAGATACAGCACCATAAACTTAGGCTTCCACTGAAATGTGTAAAAGAGTTTGACTAATATTTTTCAAGTGTGGGATAATTTTATAGGCTCTGGTGCCTACTTTTGAGAACTTGGGCAACACAAGACACCAAACTAACAAATATTAAATTCATTACTGCAGTTCTTTTCTGAACTTTAGTGTTCATTTTGTGGGTAGCTAGTACAAGACCTCAAGAATTTATAGTGAGTTGACTTCAAGTATGTATAACCAACATGTGACTAAATGCAATTAGTGCTGGATAGGAGAGTACTCCAGGCAGCACGGAGATGTTAATTCGGTTTGCAGGCCATGGAGAAGTGTGGTGGCAGAATGCTACCGGAGTGGAAATTGTGGATGAAAAGAATGAGCTTGCGTGGAGAAGGAGCAGGCAGGAGACATTCTTGAAGAGCAGGATGCCATCAATTAAGGATTAGAAACAGCATTCCAATCCTCTGTATCGGATGAAAGGCACTGAAGGGTTAAAGACAATGATACCCCCATAGGACTGTTAAAACACCCACAAAAACCTGTTACACAGACGCCATCACTCAACTTTTCCAGTGATTTCGAAAAGCTAGCTTATGAGAAATGAGAAAAGTAAGGCCAATGTGATGTCATTAGTTCTAGTCTTTAAGCGTCACAATGGCTTTTTGGCCATTTAGTAGTTAATCCTCCTCCCTACCCCAGTGCTCTGAATTAGCAAAAGAAAAAAAGTTGATTCATCTCTACTGGCCTCAGCGGTTCTGGTTCCGAGAATCAGATCTCAGATCCTCCTTGTCTCCTTCAGCTGCCTCAACTATCAAAACTGTCCCCTTGGAAGTGAACTGGAACACAAATGCCATGCAAAAATCCTATACAAAATAAAATCTATTGTTCTGCAGTTTGACAACCACAATTCAATTTGTAGTGTTTCAAAGGTACTTCCCATCCAAAAGTGACTTCTGAATTGAAAATTATGTACAGTAAGAGCTAAAACCTTTTTGAATAAACCAATGTATACCTCTGGCCCATGTAAATTACAGTGTTGTTGCTTTCAAAGAATACCTATCTTAGGTGCAGTCATCCCAAATTATTAGACAAACCTCTAAACTCTCTTTTAACAGATTTTTTGACCAAAATAATAGTCATTCTCTCACTTAGTAAATACCACTGTTCGGACTGAGTCCCGAGTTGTTCCAAGATTTGTGCCTGAGAAGCCACGAGGCCAAAGAACACCCCAGGTGCCTGAGTGCAGACATAGGTTTGAGACTTACTGACTAGGGAGAATCTCTGCTGACGGCCAGCCAGAGGGGTAGCGCCCTGCAAGCAGGCGGAGAAGGAAGGTTATATGGGCCCAGCAAACAACAAGTGTTCCATGGGACAGTCATCCGACAGGTCCTGCTGGCCCGCCCTATGCACACAGTGTCCCAAGAAGCCGGGAGACCTGACTGTGACCAGCTCATCTGCCTGTGGGCCAGGTCCCTCCAACCACTTCATAACAAGAACAACAACAAAAAAACCTGTTCAAATACAGGACTTAATTTTCATTTATTAATAAAGTAATTGTGATTTTTGAAAAAAAAGTTTAAAATGTTCAGCCTTCATGTTAATGTAGGTTAGGCCATCCAAAAGACAAAGCAAAGAATTCACATTAAGTCATGGTTCAGGGTTATACCTATAAGAAACAAATACGAGACTATGGGACTTAATAAGTAAAGACAACCAAAGTACAATGTATTTCAAATGTTTATATAAAAACATATTAAAGATCACTTTAAAATAGTATCCATCTTTTAAGTGGGCATACTCATCTGCAATCATGTACAAATATAATAAACTTGAATAATAGCTTTCTCAAGGTTTTAATACAAATCCTTGCTTCTTTATATAACCCAACAAAATGATATAAAGTGAACTTGTTAGAAAAATATGGACCTTTCTGAATCTATACTGCATTTTTAATTTAAATTGGAAAATACAGTTCAGATTATATGAAACACACGGATTTCAGGCTTGTGTATTTCCTGCACCTTACAGATTATTAGGTATATTCTTTATGTTGGCTGAAATGCAAAAATATGATTAATTTCTTAATAACAGGTTAAAAATACTTTCCATTGATAGCAGTGCTAGTCCTAGAACAAAATGTAAGCTACACATATTTGTAAGTACTGTGTATTCAGTGCTCCAAATATGCAGATCCTAACACCAAGCCCTTAATATACATTTGCTTTAAAGGTTACTGAATGAAAATCTCTCATGTTTGACGATCTTGAATTTAAACAATCCTGTAAACAAAGTCAAAATCTGCATACAAATAGAAATAAAACTCAAGTAAACTCTGCATATTTGATTTAAACTAACCTTAAATTAACTTATGACACAATGAATCATATCATTAAATATGCAAAAAAGATTAAAAAATCATCCATATGTAAAGATGACTGAACTCTGTAAACGTGTTCCTGTTTAGTAACTAACTACTCTACCACAGCTGCTCTTTGGTTTGGCGAAGTGACACTGGCCAGATGCCTCAGGTACTAAATATTCAAGTAAGTTTGTACCCAGGGAAAACCCATCTCCTGCCTACATTTGTTTTTTAATGGCAATGGCAAGACCTTAAATATCATCACATCTGTTCAAGTGTTTGAAGGACCAAAGACAGTACCAATAAATTCTCACAGGGCTTCATTTTCACCTTTCTCCCCAGGCTGCTGGCTAATCCATACCAGCTGAGAGAGCAGAGGCAGCCTTTTCCTGACCCCCACACCACCGTGATCCCCTTGCTCAACAGTCTGCAATATGGATGAGTAAACCCAGTCAAATAGTATTCAGAACATGGCAAAATGTTGGCCATAAATTAAACCAAACGTAACCAAAACAAAAGGCTTTCACTGAAAATGTCGGAAAAGTGTTTACTATGCTATTAAAGATGATGTTAAATAAGAGGAATGAAAAGAACCGAGAAAGATTCCAATACCACCAAAGTGCCTGAATATGTTCAAGGGGAAAATTGTGTTTCCTCAGTGCTTAATCAGGTGAGTGTATATCCTTTGATCTGAATGTATAAATACTCATAAAAAGTACCTGGCGAACATTTCTGAAAGGAGTAAGTTTAAACCCTATTTCCTTATAACATGCAAGCTGCCAAACTAAAGTTTTTTCAGTGGTAACTGATATCCCTTAAGGAGTTTTATGCTTAAAGGTTTCCTAGAATCAAGATTATTAAGCTACAGAGTTAAAATAAAGGTAGACGAATCCATATTCTAGTTTTTCAAACTGTATTTTCAAAGCTAATGCATTCCTTTGGTTCAAAGGGAAGAAAAGTTAATTCCTTTTAAAATCTAATATTAGTATTAGCCAATGGAATTAGACAAATTCTACAAATTCTAACCCTGGAACAGTTGACTATAAAATCTATGCAACATTAGAAATTAGACACGGCCCGAGCTGAGCTGCCGCTGAGCTGCCAACAGGTGGCAGGATGGCTCAGCTAAAAAAAAAAACAACAAACAAAAAACAAAAACAAAATAAACATTAGAAATTAGAGCTATCCCTTGTATGTTGTTTGGTGTACAGCAGGTACTCCAAAAATATTTGTTGGATGAATAAAAAGTAAGGTATTTTGCAAAATTAGAAACTGAAGAATGTTAGAAGTCATCCAGTCCAACTCATTCCTAATACCCCTCCCCATACCCCATTTTACACATAGGAAAACTATAACCCTTGATACTTAATAGATGCTGGTTAAAATTTGTCTCTATCCACTACTAGAAGCAAATAAATCATTTTGGCCTGTGTGTGTATATTTGACTAAAAAGTATAAACAAGGATTGACATTTCTACATTGTTTCTCCTTTATAAGATACTGTATTATTTTTCTTTATAATTAATGCAATAATTCTTGCCACTTAGACTGGATTTCAAAAAGAAAAGAGAGTATATGTCTGGGGAGAAAGAGATTGCCGTTAGGAGGTCAGATTTACTATTTTGCATTTAAGAGTGGAATCCAGTTGAAGTTTTATGAGTACATGGGCAGGGAAACACAAAGATACATGTGGGGGTTTCTTTTTTTGAGGGTTTTTTTGAGAGGAACCTAAAATATGATTTGAATAAAATACAAATGACAGTTAAAAAAATAAATGGATATGCCATTCTAATTTTTCTAATATTTTGGTTGATAGAAAAATGCTTGGAAGTATTCCACATGAGAGCTGACACGTCCATGAATCTTGCAGAAAAAGCAACAGGGGAAAGCAGGGCTGCATGGTGTCTTTCGGGACCCCTGCAAGGCTGAGACTGAAGTTTTAAATGACTTCTCAGGTTAGAATTTCTTTCCTGAGAGCAGTATTATGCTAAACAGTTCCACCCTAGTTCAAATTTCATTTCAAGTCACTTACTAAGGTGTTAAGTGATTACTGTAAAAGTTTCAAAGTAATTTTTCATCAATACCTAAATTGAAATTTGATCCTACATACCTTAGAACTAAAATATTTTTAACAGCTTGTAATAGCCTGCCTATCTTTCTCTTTACTTTTCTTCTAGCCACTTCTACCTATTCCTATTGTGTCCAATATTTCCATAGCACGTATACCTTTGTGTTTCCCCCGCCCATACACTCATAAAAATTCAACAAAAAAGTAACTTAAAAGCAGAAACATAAATATCTCTTATACTGCCAAGTTTCCATGAAACCTTGGACCCACCACTATACTAAGCCTTCAATGAATTATACAAATGTGCTCCATGTTTTAAATCATTTAGATATTTTAATCCTTGAGTGTTACTGTATAGCCAATAATATAAAATCTTTATTAAAAATGTTGGAAAGTATAAAACAGTAATTATAAATTAGCAAACACCCAATTTTTAGAAAAGCAGTTATTTTCCTTACACAGTTCAGCAGCAGTAATTTGGACTCACTTCCAGCCACCACCCTGCCCTAGAAGTACTTCACTTAGGCAAGTTTTCAGCTTGTTTCAGGAGTGAAAATTTATATGGACACTAAGAAACAACTCTGGTAATGTAACGCAGGTATTAAAAAGTACATATGCCATGTGAACATGTGATCTAACAGCTCATTATAGCATCTCACGACAGGCAAGTGTTATTTGCAAAGTAAATGAACACTTTGTAAGCGGGCATTTTTCTCTATACGACGAGTTTACTCGTTTCCCGCAAACAATGTGTGAAGTCACTCTTGTAGCTGTAAGCCTTGTTGGGCTTCTTTAAGATGAAGGCATCTTCGTGCTCTGCAGAAGGGCTTCTGTGGGCTCCGAGTTCTGTACAAAGGCTTCCTTTGTGAAAAAAATATATCTTCTGTTACACTTCAATTACTTCCTTCCATTGATCATCATCTTGCAAGTAATACTGAAAATATTGTCATAATGTTTTTATAAACCTGTAAAACCAAATGCAATTGAGTTACTGGTTAAAACTTGCTTTTCTGTTTCTGCAAACATGATGTATTCAATGCTGCTGTGGACTAAGGTGTAAAGCTGCTACTCTAACAAGACATGCAGGAATTACTTTATACCATATGCTGTCATAATAACAAAGAGTTTTTGCAAGCAGTAAGTAAGGGCAGCACTTAGAACAGCATTTTACAAGAGGCAGGTTCTCAGAGCTGTCCTCCGCTGCTCGGGCACATGTCAGGAGATAGCTCCCCATGCACTGCTGTGGGGCACAGGCTGGTGCCCATGGCCACTGTCTAGAGACTACCGCTGGCTGAGCGCTCTCAGGCAGCACAGGCACCACCCACTGTCCCGCCTCCAGGAAGAAGCAGCAAAGCCAGGATTGAGCCCCTGACTGAGGCTCACCTGCGGCCCACAGCAATGTTCTCAGAGGCACTGACCATACTGTGGCTGTGAGCATGGGTCCTGCTGCTGTCTTTGAGTGCAGCCTGCTCTGCCTGACAGCAGCCCCGCCTGCATACCGTGTTCTGGTTCTGTCCGGGTGGTTAGGCTCTGGCAGTAACTCGGATCCCTGGATGGAAACTGAGTGCTCACAATGAATGGCAGCAGAGGCTCCCCTAACTGCGACTGCAGATGACAGCCCTTTGAAGAAATGCATTCCCGACATGGGACAGTGGTAAGAACAAATGGGCTAGGCTTGTGATCATTCCTAATGGAGCACAGGTAACCAGTAAACATCACAGGGAGTTTTCAGACATCAAGCGTCTTCACCAGATGCTGCCGAGCCACTGAGCTCAGCTCCTGATTTGGAAACAGACAGCTGCCTCCTTGCTCTTAAGCATCAGGAGAGAGACCTGCTAACCTCTGCACTTCAACTCCAGGTTTTCCAGCACCCTCACACTCACACTACTTCCTGGTCTGCTCACCCTCGCCAAGCACACAGATAAAGAACAGCGGGCCCATGCTCTTGGCCACAGCAAATTGCTCTTTGCCGTATCGTTCACAAAGTAAATAACATCACCGAACCCCTTAAGTCTGTTTTCAGCCTTTAATTTTAGTCATCCTTCTCTAGATCAAATTTCTTCAATAGTGGGCAAAAGTCATCTTTTTTCATAAATTAATTAATAAGGTACTGTTTACTGAAAAGGTTAGTTGTTTGTCCATGTACCAATCCTAAACAATTCTTATTAGTTTCTTCATTAACCTACCAATAAATATTTACTAAGATTGAGCTAGGATTGGTAAGAAAAATAGGATTTAGGCTGATACCTTCCAATCTCTCCTGAACTACCTAGTTTTGCTGATATAACTGAAAGAGTGAAACATTGAATTGGCAATTGTTTTGAGATGATGAAATATGCAAATAAACTGCATTTGTTCAAGGAAATTACCTTGCACTGTCTTACCTTGCTCTTAGTCAATTGATTAGTTATGAACAAATGGAGCTCAAATGGTTATTTGTCCCTGTAAGCACACAATTATATATGACATGACAAAAAAAAGAAGTATTAAGTTTCTGGCTAAATAGCACAACTGATGATTACAGTAAAATCAACTCTATGTAAGCACTAAATAGGCTTATGCTGCCAACAACTTGTCTTCCTGTCGAATCCAGAAGTAGGTAAAGCAGTGCTAAAAGCTAAACGTCCCGTTTTATGCCTGTTTTTGTGAAAATGTCCACTGGCTTTAAAGAGGTTCAGAAGCGACAACTAAGAATCCACAAAGCAAATCTTTCCCTTGACCTTTACAAAGGGCTCTAGTCATCCTGTTGAAGATCCCAATGACACTAATTTTAGAGTATTTAAAGGCTGCTAAAACCCAAAACGACAGAAAAATCAGACACTCTAACAGCAAGTTTTCAAGTTTTATATTTCCTAGTTAGAATTATATAAACTGATCTGAATGTCCAAATTACATTTCTACAGTACAAGTTGATAATGACAATGTAATATCATTATTATTATTATTAAGAACTCCTACAGTTATATTTTAGGCTGTAATGCTAGTAAGTGGCCAGGCTATATTGTAAACCCAGGTCTGATTCAAAAGCCCACTTCTATCTTATCAACTGTTCTCTATTGCATCCATAACTCATAAATGATTAAGTCATCATGAAAAGTTAAAATAGATTCACATGCACTTTTTTTATAATAAGGCAGCAAAGAATATAGTGCTTTTCAAAAAGTTATTTGCGGGCCGGCCGAGTGGCGCGATGGTTAAGAACTCGCTTGGGATGCCAGAGGGCCCCGGTTCGGATCCCACATATGAGGGCCAGTGACACTGCCCTCCACAGCTAAGATGCTGAACAACAGCTCAACCTGGAGCTGGGCTGCCATGAGTCGCCGGCGACGGCGTGGGCTGCAGTCCCTGTGGCAGTGGATTGCCATGGGCTACCTTGTGTGGCCAGCAGCCAGCGTGAGCGGCCAGCAGCCGCAGTGAGCGGCTGTCCAGAAGCCGGCGACTGATCTGCCTCGCCAGAGAAGAGCGCAATGATGGTGCCAACTTGGGCCAGTGAAGCAATGTCCTCCACAACTAGATTGAAGAACAAAACGACAGCAACTTGTCTGTTCCCCTTTCCCCAATTCCCCAGCACTGTTCCCATCCCCCCAATTCCCCAATAAAAATCTTAAAAAAAAAAAAAAAGTTATTTGCGATATTTGCTTTACTTATTTAAGGGTGTTACTGATAAATTGATTAATTTGTACTTCTGTATTTAGAACTAATAGCTTGCCCCTAGTCCAATTCTTTACCATATTGTACACATTTCTTTGTAATCTGTGGAAGTGCAATGTGTTAGTAATTTGCATTTCAAATGATGCTCATGTGATGATACCCCCAATCAGTGGCTTACAGAATTAACGATTATGTATTTATCATGAAAATTTTGGCTTAAAGACATCAGAAATGTAAGACTTGATATGATGGCTTTGTAAAACCACAAGCCTCTTAATGATCGTTAGCTTCTTTAGGTCATTAAAATAAAAACGTAAAAGCTATTTTCCCCTTGCAACGGTCCTCTTCCATATTCACTCTCCTTTTCACATTTAGGTCTAAATTTATGAACCTGAGCCTGCTATTAATATGAATATCCCTGCAAAATGATTATACATGTGAAAATGTATAAATGGACTAATACTACTTGTCTTTCCCTTACCACACAGAACTGGCTCTTACAATGCCATCCATGTATTTGTGACTATCTTAATTCATAAATGTAACTGGAAACTTTTAAGCCAAACTGTCATGTGCAGCTCTATGGAGCTCCCCTCCTCCCCGCAAATACAGTGAAATTTCCTTTATTCACGAGAGCCACCATGGTCAGTATTTAGTGATAGAGCTGTTTTTCAACAATTCTAGCTTAATTATAATATCAAAAAGAGAAAAAAAATGTTGCATCTTTGTGATTTTAAAACATTAAACAAATGAAGGGCTCCGATAGGCTCCTTGGAGTTGGCTTGGCAACGGTCCTTGGTCTCACAGGTTACCAGTGTCTAGGGATGTCTGAGCTGTTTTCAGATTTAGGAATAGTACAGTGTTGTCTTGTCTTTGGTTGCAGTCTCATCGGGCTCCATTTCTTGCACCACCAGAGAGTGCGTTACCACTTATGTGTATTGCTACAGCTGTGGAACAACAGAGTGGTACAAGACGGAGCAAATTAACAGTAGAGAAATTGCGCCCTTAGTGTTAACAATGTGCCTTCTGTTCTGAATGCCATGTTGTAGGGCACGCATTTTTTGGACACTTTAACTCTTGGAATACTGGGCGGTAAGGCTGGACCCCACTTTTGCAAAGATACATCTGTTTTTAATATCCAGTTACTTCTCAGCCTTAATAGAAACCCTAAGCCGTGATTTTATCATCAGGCATTGAAAAGGGAACCATTGGTTAGTTACACAGAGAAGTCCTAGGTTTAAGGGTTTAAAGATGGTCTTTGTTGTATCTTAACATCAGACTGATTTTTAAAAATATTTCTTTTTGTTATGCAAACACTAGACAAAAACTCAACTGTATTTGTAAAAATTTACCTCAAACCATTTGATTTTATAGTGTGATTAATCCCTGGGCATTTGGTATGAACCAAAGTGCATTCCTTTTCTATGTGCCTGGCCCTAGTAAGGATGGCCAGGGATTTTTACAATTTGGGTGCAAGGCACTTAAGCCACTTTTAAACTTAATGGGTGGTTGGGAGTCATGTTCAAGGACTCCATCCGAATGTTAGGAACACTTTAGGCATAAGTAGCATTGGGCCATATTGGAATCCTAAAAGTGAATTATTTTAAAGAGAGCATTCATTTTTATAATTTTTTTTCATCAAGAATATTTCTGGTGAGCAGAAGACTTTAAAAAAAAACTGATTTGGTTGGTAAAGGTTTTTTTTTTTTTAAAGATTTTTATTGGGGAATTGGGGGGATGGGAACAGTGCTGGGGAATTGGGGAAAGGGGAACAGACAAGTTGCTGTCGTTTTATTCTTCAATCTAGTTGTGGAGGATGTTGCTTCACTGGCCCAAGTTGGCACCATCATTGCGCTCTTCTCTGGCGAGGCAGATCAGTCGCCGGCATCTGGACGGCCGCTCACTGCGGCTGCTGGCCACACACGGTAGCCCATGGCAATCCACTGCCACAGGGACTGCAGCCCATGCCGTCGCCGGCGACTCATGGCAGCCCAGCTCCAGGTTGAGCTGTTGTTCAGCATCTTAGCTGTGGAGGGCAGTGTCACTGGCCCTCATATGTGGGATCCGAACCGGGGCCCTCTGGCATCCCAAGCGAGTTCTTAAGGTAAAGGTTTTAATATTGCCCAACATAATGCTGTGGTAGCATTTAAAAAAAAATATTTGTGAACTCTTGTTTCTTAGGGGCTGGTACATCTCTCTGCTATGGACATATATAAAATTAATTGTAATTATACTCAGCTCAACTGCTACAGTTATGTCCAGGCAGTGGCTTGGGTTTTTATCGAGCAACAACTTAGACACATGACTGTAATATGCTGCAACTGTGTGTACTGAAAATATGTGAAAATGGTTGAATGTGGACTGTGTATATATGTATGTAAAAATTTCTGTGAGATGCTGCTGTTGCCACTTAACATGAGATATGTTCTAGTGGATTTTAATCCTAGTGGCCAGTTCTATGATACTGTATGTATTGTACAGCTGATGGCAGGAGTAAGACTGTTCAGTGAATATGTTAAATTTTATTGTCATGGCCAGAGATAATTTCAGAATAAAATTTTAATGTCCTAAAAAAAAAAAAGTTATTTGCAAACATGCAATAGCTAGGTCCTCAAAGAACAACCTTGTTTAAATGTTATTCAGAATATTATGATGCCAAAAGAACTTTCTATGTTTGAGGTAAAGAAATGCATGGCTGGGTAACAAAAACCACCCTGACTGTGAACAGAACAAAACACAGCAGCAGCCACTATACTTCCGCACTCAAACCCTTCTCCAGAAAAGCCACCTGTAAACAGTAAACCCTGGATATATGATACTAATTAAAAAGTTTCACATGTTTTAGTATTTTAAAATATCACATTATTTTGATTTTTACACATTTACTAAATATGGTAATTTTCATTTTCACCACCCGAAGCAGTATTTCCCGATGACCAGTATTACCTGATCTGACAGCGCCTTCCTCAGGTCCATTCTCTGTCCACTGACATTCACTGTCCAGCAATCGGTTTTTTGATTCACTAAGCGGTTTGATAGGAAAGGGTTGATTTGAGCCAATACTGAAAAGAAAAGCAAATAATTTAGTTAATAGTTTAATGCTCAATTAAGAATAATTAATAAGCAGCAAATTAGTATTCCTTCTCCTAAATATGTGAGGGCAACTCATAAGATCTCAGCACTCTGAAAAAAAAATCTATCTTCAAAAGAAAAATATACCTCCACCCTCTATTAAAAGGCTCTCTAGACCCAAGAATAGGTAATGTAACACTGCCAATGAAAATGGTTAGGCAAAAGAACAAAGCTTCAGAGGCCAGCCTGAAACATTTTTAACATATGTTAATCAAGAGCCATAAGGTAGCACAAGGACAGGTGAGGGTCTATGTCTGTGGCCAGGACAAAAAAATTACCTGTCATTTCCCAAGTTTTCTGTTTTCTACCTCTGCAGTTTAGATCTAAGGGGAAAAAATGATTTAGTGATTTAGCGTAGATTTATTTTTCTAGCTACCAGATCCAGGGAGGGAGGGAACGGAGGAGTGAAAGAGGAGGAAAAGGGAACTAGTATTTGTTGTGTACCTACTATGGGCCAGACCCTGTGCTAGGTGCTGTACACACATTACCTCCTCAACCTCCGCAATGACCCTAGGGGGTAGGTATGATTATCCTCAATTCATAGAGCTGGAAACAGAAGCTTAGAGAGTTGAAGTGATTTGTTCAGAGCAACAATAAATGTTGGCGCTCCGAGATCCTAAGGCCTTAGGTTCCAGGTTCTAAGGCCTACGTTCTTCCGATACTAATATGCTAGCTTGGAATTTATAATCCCTTCTCCCCCACAATTAATTTCTATAGTAAGTAAGTTTTAACTGTTTCATTTTGACAGATCCGAATGACACTAATTTTAGAGAATACTGCTAAAACCCAAAACGACAAAAAAAAATTTTTAAAATCAGAAATTAAGTATCTGTATCTTCTTTAAAATTTCATTTAAAACGAACTATTTCTCTGAAGGTATGAATCAATTTGCTTGCTGTGCAAATACTGAAAAAATATCCTCTAAGATGAATGAGAGAAAATTTTATATTTGTATTTTTGAATTCTCATTAATATTATTTTCATACTGCAGTTAAAATCTGTTTTATCAAAATAAAATGGTGAATAGAACAATGAATAATTTCTTCGAAGAAATACAAACAATATAATTAAATCTTGAAGGGATGTCTTAATTTCTAGGAAGATGCAGCATATTTAGGGAGGCCATGCTTCCTATTTTGGCCAGACATTCCCAGTTACATGTGACTGACCTGGTTCAAGAGCCAAGTAAGAGCAAGCGTTCTCTTTCTTACTCTCAAAGTGTTCTGGTTTAGATAATAAAAATATGGTTTTTCTAAAGTAATTTGATATATATGCTTATTATCTAAGCATATTTATAACAATATAATATAGAATTAGATATAAATTATAACACATTAACCCTCAGTTAAAAAAATTTAAATAGAATTTCTCTTTTCCTACCTATGCTGGCTCACTAAATTACTACTGCATTTATCTACAAGATTATGTATGTACATACACATATATGTATACACACACACACACACACACACACACACACACACACAAGTATATGTATATAGTGTTTGCTTTTTAATGAATACTGAAAGCTTAATGACAAGAAGCCCACCTTCTGGCATATTCATTTTGGTTTGTAACAGAAGCTTGCTCTGGATCCATGCCTACAAGGCGAGTCGGAAAACTGCAACCATCACCCAAACTGCACAAAAGAAAATAACAGAATAGTTTAAATTATATTAAGTGAAATCAACGTGGTCAAACTTAACCCCCATTTTTCAGAGGCATGGTATAAAGACATCGTCATAACTTATCGTTTCACAGAATAATTCCTCAGATTTCTAATTAAGAGGGTGATTAGCCTCCACTGAAAATCAACCTTTTTCTTTTATAATTTACATATATTTAAAAACAGTATCTTCTATAATCCTGTATGCCAACTATACTTTAATTTAGAAAAAATGACCTTCCCTGGCTATTAAGATTATGACTTCTATGAAGATTATGACACCTCAAACAGAGGTACTCAAATGTCTGTGTAGCTGACCTGCTCTTCACAATCATTTAAGAAATAATAAAGGTTCAAACTGAAATTCAAGATATAAGTTCCACACATATTTATTTGACATTTATTACACAAGTATTTATGGAATGCCTATGATACTCCAGGTACTATTTTAAGTGCTAAGGATCTAGCAGTGAACAAGGAGAAGGAAAGCTCTGCCCCCAAAGCTTACAATCTAACAAAGTCTGACAGCGTATGTTCACATTCTAAACACCCAGGCTGTGCGACAGTTCACTTCCGGCCAAGATGGATTAACCAGTAACTCGACCTACTGTTGTAAACAACCAACAAACTGAATGGGATCTACAATAACTGTTCTCAAAGCAATTAGCACAGGACTGTGGTCTGTGACAGAAGAGAACCCGACCAAGTGAGTCCCAGCCTCTGCCAGGCCAGGAGGAAGCGACGCGGAACAAGGTGGTGTCACTGCAGAACATTACAATATATCGCAGTTCCAGAATCTTAAGACATTTAACCAGAGAGGCAGAGACGATCACACATTCCATAATTTCTGAGACCTGCATTTTATAAATTACCTTGAAAATATTGGAAGTAGCCAATATTTCTTTTCATCGCCAAAGACTTGTCTCCAATTTTTACTGTATCCAAGAGAGAACCCATTTCCATCCTGTCCGTATGAAAATGTGGGTGCACGGAATGATTCTGTTATGTGTATATACATGAAAAAGAGTTAATCTACTTAAAATTATCAGAAGAATGAAAGTACCAAATTTCTTGTTTTATATCATTGATATCAAAAGCTATAAATATAATTTAAAATTAATATTTGTAACAATTAAAAAAAATTTCTGAAACCTATTTCAGAAAAAAAATGTCACTTCTGAGTATTTCATCACCCTTACAAAATGAAAATGTCAAAATAATTATCTAATATTACTGAAAATCTCCTAAGTGTGTTCAATATATCTTGTTTTTCTTTATTTTAATATTCTAAATCTTGCAACTTCGCTCACTCATTTTTATGAACTTCCACTATGTACCCGATGGCACATTACCAGGTGTTTGGGATCCAAAGATAAACTATTATAGATGAAATTCTTACCAAAGAACCCAAATCTAATGAAAGTATATGTGATCGATGTATGTGTGTGTGTTGGGGCAGGGGAGTGAAATACGGAGAAGGTGATGCTTGAGCATGACCTTGAACAGTGAATAACAGGTGAGGAAGCAGATCGTATTAAAGACCATTATTTTAAGCTTTGTTATAAAGTGATGTAGAGTGAGGGTTAGAGAAAGATTTAAGTTTGACTGTTTGTTTTTTTTTAATTTATTTAAAAATAGAATGAATTTGGGCTGGTCCATTAGCTCAGTTGGTTGGGAGTTGGCTTGGGAGCGCAAGCTCTGAGCAGCAGGGCTGCCGGTTTGATTCCCACATGGGCCAGTGGCACTGCGCCTGAGTTGTGCTGCCACTGAGCTGCCAACAGGTGGCAGGATGGCTCAGAAAAAAAAAAAAGAATTTCAGCATGTTTTAGAAGCTAAGGATAAAAACAAGACAGGGAGAGATTGATAGGGAAAAGTTGGTAATATAAAAAAGTAATGTATCCGGTCAGAATGGCTATCATCAATAAATCAACGAACAATAAGTGCTGGCGAGGTTGTGGAAAAAAGGGAACCCTGGTGCACTGTTGGTGGGATTACAGATTGGTGTAGCCACTATTGAAATTAGTATGTAGGTATCTCAAAAAACTGGAAATGGGGCCGGCCGAGTGGCGTGATGGTTAAGAACTGGCTTGGGACGCCAGAGGGCCCCGGTTTGGATCCCACATATGAGGGCCAGTGACACTGCCCTCC